CAATTATCATGAAAGGCTTTGTCGTCTCTGTTCCATTGTTGTTTTAATTTGTTCTTCGTCACCTCTCTCTGTTCAATTATTGGTTAGATCAATTATTGGTTGGACCCATTATTTGCGCAGTCTCGTGATAAAGATTTGATTCTTGATTGAATGGATGAGTAAAGAAGTTTTGTTTGCATTCCTATGTGTGTGAAAGTGGGAATATTCTGAATGGATGAGTAAAAAGTAGTTCTGTTTGCATTCCTATGTGTGTGTGGAAATGGGAATATTCTGAATTCCTGTAATGAATTTCGAGGTTTTCGCTACTATTATTTTTCTGTCTTTGGATGCAGTTTGTTGACATCTTTGTTATCTCAGGACGTTTTGATACTTTTGGGTCTGCTAAACAAAACTCGGTTTGGGGTGACTTGTCGATCTCATCAATTTCAGTTGGGTTCTGAGCTGGAAATGAAGAACGTTTTTCGGGCTGTGAGGCAGTTTAGATCAGCGTTTCGGTATCGAGGGCACATCCAATCTGATGGCTTTACAAAAAGACGAGAGTTTTGGTTAAATAAGACCCACGGCTCCGTATACAACATATCCAACGTTACAGACTTTTGTCATCATAGACATCTATCACAGATTATTCACCGAGCTATTTCAACCGATGCAGCTAAAGTTGCCAATGCAGGTTCTATTATCATTTAGAAATTCAGTTTGGAGTTGATATTTGGAAGTAAAGGTTCAAATGTTTGATACTGTTCTGCACTTGATTTAAATTGATGACAGAGCTCAACGGTGGAGGACCTCTTATTGAATATGAACGAAGGATAGCTGCTGGTGAACTTTTAGATGGAGATGCCTGCCAGGTAAGTTACTTTTTACGGTTTAGTTACAGTCCTCAGATATTTGTTCACGTGTCACAGTGTGCATCTCCGAAAGGGTGTAGTTACCTCTAAGAGGTTGTTTTACTTCTAGAGATATCTTCTATTTAGTTTGATAACTTGACTAGAACTCGTGGATAGGTTTTGTAACTATCAATATTTGATGTTGTACTTCTAGTTTTTAGATGCAGAAGTTTCTGTTTTTGTTGACCCAAGTATAATGGTATGTGATACGCCATGAATATGAGTAAATTATAGTCATTTGTGACTTTGTCATATTATAATGGCATTGAATTTTAGAAAGCAAATGGTAATGGGAACCATGTATATCCTTCTGTTGGTTTGTTGGTTGGTTGCTATATTTCAATACAAGATTTACGAATTATGGAAATTGGCAGCTAGGTACCTTGGGAGAGCTTCAAAGGTTATATGACGAGCTTGTTGAAAATGCAGAAGCTTGCCGTTTGGATCGGTATGCTGCAAATGAGAAAGCTGGGAGGTACATATTAATTAGTGCTCTGTTATCATCATCATCATCATTATAATTTTGCCTGAATAATAATTTTTCTTTGCATGGCTTTTTCATTTTTATAATGGATTTTTCGCTGATATGCAGGAGTAGGTGGTTGTGGTCCCGTTTCATACCACAAAGTTCATATGCACCTGTCAAAGGGCTTTATCTATATGGTGGAGTAGGAACCGGAAAGACTATGCTGATGGACTTGTTTTTTGATCAACTGTAAGTACCAAATTGCCGTAAAATTCCAATTTTGTTAGTGCAATGCTATTTATGGTATGCATTGTGTATTTTCAGACCTTACAACTGGAGGAAGAAGAGAATCCATTTCCACGACTTTATGTTAAATGTACACAGTCGTTTACAAGTATGTATGCGCATCAGTTATTCTATTTTGAAATTGCATTTACGTTTTATTATTTTTTTTTTTCCTTCCTCCTTTCGTTCACTCGTTTGTTTTTTGTAAGCTCTGAATATTGCAGCATAATATAGCGAATCTCAGCATATGAGCTACTAAAACCTTTATATAGCATTGGGACACTGCTTTTGTTTCTCATTGCTCTCTTCTTTTTGGGATATGATATTTTTACTCCATGATATTTTTCTTTGAGGTGTTTTTTAAAAAAAAAACTAATGAGTCTGATATTGTAGCCATTGTCCGAGGGAGTCTAGCATGGATTAGTTTCATATTTGAGGGCTTCAACTAGAATTTGGGAGCTAAATTTTCTCTTATTGAAACCCCTGCTGTTTTGTTCTAATGACCAATCATACCTGATCATTGAATGCGGTGGTTTTCCACTTGTTTTGGTCTTGTATAATCTACTTCTTCGAATAACCTGAGATACAAGTTCATTGAAAAAAAATTATAAAGTAGCAGGATTTTAGCTTTTCCTCATTGTTCTAGAATGTTTGTGAAGATCACAATCTTATGATTGTCAAGCTCTATAACTGCAGTGACTTAGTAATCTGATGTTGCAAAGGGTCTTATGTTTGCTGAAGATATTGAGGTTTTTGTGGTTCTATTTATTTAATCATGGTAGTAATGATAGTTATGCTAGTTTATCTGCTGTCGGGCCATGAAATGGCCAACATATAATGCTGTGTTGGGAAATTATAAATTTTTGGTTGGTTTGCAAGATCAAGTAGTGATAATATATTTTTTTCAGTTCCGTAAATGGTAGAATAGTAACTGAATTAATACTCAAATCATTACTGTAACTAGTTTCTTGAATCGGAACATTGGCATAATAGCGGGATGCAGGAAGTTCTTAAACATAAGGACAGAAAGATAAATAAATAAATTAATAAAAACAAAGGAAGGAGATGTTTGAGTCTCACTTAAAGATATATATATATATTATTTAAAAACATAAGTGTTGACAGTGAAAATTCTTTTACAATTATGTTTAACTTGCAAATAGAGGCGGACATGTTTGCTGTCTATGCATTCTCTGGGTTAATGCCACAACCATGATGAAAATAGATTTATATGGAACAGGGATTAGTACACATGAATATAAGTGTTTGCAAGTGAGGTAATGTGGAATGGCATTAATGTCTTGAAATTCAAACAGCTTGGAGAATACTGTAGCAGAGACTAAAAAATATTCATGAAAGAAAGAAAACATTCGTTTTCAATACTCTATGGATACCTTTTTATATTCTTTTTCCTTCTGGTGTTGCAGTATAATGCCAGTGTTGTCATGTATACGGCCACATAAATACGTATTTAAGAGTATCATAAGCATTCTGCTTGTATAATAAAGAAAGTTCTTCTTTTTTTGTTTGCATATATTTTTCCACACATTGTTTATTTGGAAGATGTGGAGTATTTCATATTATTTTGATTTTTTTTTTTCGACAAATCAGAGCAAAGCTTTTTGATCCTGAAGAAAACTAACCCACCTTAATTAATATTTAATTGCAGAAGCACAAAGGAGTATCAGATCCTTTAGAAGTTGTTGCTGGAGAACTTTCAGATGAAGCTATATTGTTATGCCTCGACGAGTTCATGGTATGTCTAACTGATCTAAAATTTACATTTTACTAGAGTGAAACATTATTTTATATTTTATATTTTCTTCCTTTAGGTGACAGATGTTGCAGACGCCTTAATTCTTAACCGTTTATTTAGACATTTATTCAGCAATGGAGCAGTGAGTAACTTTCACATCCCTAATATGTTTTCATGTTCACGAATTAACTGGTCTTAGTATGTTGGGCATATTAATAACTGATAACTTGTGATATATGAAATAGATTCTTGTTGCTACTTCAAACCGAGCCCCAGATAACCTTTATGAAGGGGGACTCCAAAGGGATCTATTTCTTCCGTTTATTGCCACTCTAAAGGTATGTGTTTGTCCCCACAATATGCAAAACAGTAGATGAATCACGAGTGAGCATTTTCTGTTTATTAATAAAATTCCAATACAACCGAAAATTTATTTAACTATCTGATTTGATGTAGGAAAGATGTGTGGTTCATGAAATCGGCTCATCTGTGGACTACCGAAAAATGACATCGGTAGAGTTTCTTGTGAACAACTCGACCTTCTTATATATATGTCCGTTGTTTTGTAATTGTTCTTTACCTTAAATTTCAGGCAGAACAAGGTTTCTACTTTGTTGGCAAGCACTTGTCCAGCCTTCTTAAGCAAAAATTTCAACAATTAATCGGCGAACAAGTGGCTGTCCCACAAGAGGTGGAAGTAGTCATGGGTAGAAAATTGCAAGTAAACATACCATTTACCCGATTCAAATGTTTTGGTTATTAATGCAGCGCATGAAATATTGTCGATTCATATTGATCTTTTTTTTTTTTCTTTTTTCTTTTTTTAATAATTCCCTTGCTTCTTTAGGTTCCATTGGGAGCTAATGGATGTGCTTATTTCCAATTTGATGAACTATGTGACAGGCCTCTTGGTGCTGCTGACTATTTTGGGCTATTTAGTGAGTCAATTTGGCCTTTTTTTTTTCCTTTTGGTAAATTTTCTTTGTGAGTTGTATTCCCACGGTTTTCCTTTTCATTTTGGGTCCAGTCTAACTTCGTAATAGTTTGCTATCGTTGAAAACTACAAAAATTCTCTTGGCTAATGTTTTCATTTCACAAGTTGATCCTGTTGAGGCTACAAAGTTGTGAGATATATTTAACGATTAATTTTCTTTTTAATCAGAGAAATTTCACACGCTGGCTTTGGATGGTGTGCCGATCTTTGGGCTCTCCAATCGGACGGCAGCATACCGGTTTGTCACGTTAGTTGATGTCAGTCCTTCATACTTGATTTATTTATTTTTCAGTAATGTGCAGGCTTAAAAAGTTCTACAATATTTCTTTTTCCTTTCCTTGGGTATTCTGTTTTTATCTTTTTAATTTTTTGTTTTTTTTCTTGAAAGATCTGCAATTGACCTTATAGTCTATGTTGCATCCGTAGGTTATGTATGAGAATAGAGCCAGATTGTTGTGCACGGCCGAGGGGACTCCAGTCGAACTTTTTGACCGGATTGTGACAATAGCTGATGCTGAGCACATGGCACCTAGAACTTCTTCACGCTCGAGGAAGTCTGATGATTCTGACATTTGTGTGGACAATGAATTAGGTTTTGCAAAAGATCGCACCATTAGCAGGTAAGAATTTCAGTTCTAATTTAGTGGAAAAAAGGGAAAAAGAAAAACCAGGTTGATGTTGTGCATCTGTTAAAATGGCATTTGTAGTTTTAACATACAAAGTTGAAAGCTGCAATCAAATACCATGTTAAAGAAAAAATACAAATAGACTGCAAAAGGACATTATATTCCTGTCTCAAGTCTTTGTATCTGTATATAGATGCAGAGTTTCCCGATCCTATGTGTCGATTCCTGGTTTTTCTTCGTAATCCTATGTGTCGGTTTATGGTGCTTCGTAATCCTATGTGTCAACTTATGGTGCGCCGGAGTAATCCATGTAGATTTGGACTTCTATACATGCCTATTACGACTTTAATTATAAAACACTTGATCAACTTAAATTATTAATATATTTTAAAAGTTAATTAATTTTTTTATTTGTTATTAGTTTTTCATTTATGGTATATCGAATTAATCTTCTCTTGACGATCTTCAGTTGACATCCACAGTGCATTTACAAAAAAATATATAAATATAAATTAAATTAAATAGTACTACAAGTTTTAAGAAGTATTTGAAAATATCTACTATATATAATTTTTTAATTTATTTTATATTATATGTTTTAAGTATAATATTTATGTATTGTCTCTTCCTTTCTTGACTTTGAAGTTCGGATATGAAGATGAGTCATGAAAAGGGGTTAAAAGACGTTGTTTGAAATAGTTACCTATCGCAAACAAACGTCTCTTACCGGTTAATTAACTTCCTAATATATATTATACAAATCTTGTAGCACTAAATTTTGCAGAACAAAGGCTTTTGCTTTTTTTTTTCTTAAAAAATAAATGTTTTAAGGAAAAAAAAAAATTGTTTCGAGGAGAAGTGGGAACACTATTATCCTTTTTTTTTAAGGCTTTTGCTTTGTCCAAAATGTTTCAAAAACCATGGAGCTGCAACTTCCATTTTGATTTAATTTTTTTTTTTCTTTGTTCTCCACCTGTGCTTGCCTGCAAGGGTATATATATTGTATGGGTTAGCTATGTTTTACGCATTTTGATTCATTATTCTACACATTAGGGTTAAGATGGGATGAGAATGTTTCTTGTTCAATCCGTTTGAAAAAGGGTCAAATATCTTTCGAAAATCGGTTTGTCATGATTGATACATTACTACCTCTGAAAACTTCGTCCATTAATGATCTGATG